AAAATAACTAGAATTCAATATATCTTATACCTGTCCATAAATTGAAACTAAATAATTTATAATCATTTTCAATAAGATTTAATGATGAAACTCTTAAATTAAAAATAAAGAATTTTATGATGAAATTTTATTAAATCAAATTTATTTTATATTAAAATAAAGTATTTTTAGATTTTTAGACGTACAATGAGTCAACCAATCAAAGATGTTTTAAGCGTATCGACTTTTTGTACTATAGAGAGCGCATGCTACATATATATTACAATTTAGCTGATATTGACTGAAAATTTGCCGAGAGAGGCGGCATAGTCGGAGTCAGATGGAAGGAAACATTTTCTTCTCAATTCATAAAATACGGTCTATCTTCTTCAAACTGAATTCAGAGTCAGAGAATTGATTGGATTGTGAGTGATTTTTTGTTATCCGATTACGTGATACTCATAATAGTGAATTATTTAAAACAATAATAAAAATTTACTTAGTTTCAAGTGATTCAAATCATTGATACAATTGTTGGATACTTGAAAACAATAACTAGAAAACTGTTTCAATAATGAATAAACTTTGAACAAAATATTGGCTGATTTACTGGCAGTGTATTAATATACAGGAATTGGTTAAAAAATCAAAGAAAAGATTATTAAATATAACAAACAAAATTTATATGATATTAAAATTGAATGTGGCAACGTAATTTGCAGTTTTACGAACTAACCATTACGGATTAAGCACATGTATATTAATCATTAATACGAATTGATAGGTAAATTTTTCTTTTATTTTTCTATTTTAATTTTACATAAACATATGTTATAATTAGAATTATATATATATATATATATATATAAGATGTATATAAATAAAATGAAATTGATTTAATTAATCTAAAAAATATTGAATAAAACTGGCTATATGAGATATATAATTTAAAACATTTAAAATATGAAAGTTCATTTATAGATATTTCGTTATTTTTTTCGTTTTGAAACAAATAATAGAAATATTAATTTTATAATATCTTAAATGGGATATATGTGAATTATCGATCGTTAACGTTATAGATATAGAATCATTGACGTCGTTTGTGCATGTGTGTGTGCGTGCGCATATTATATATGTGTATAAGTGATTGATCGTATAAGGATCATGTAAAATTGATTGGAATCAATATTTATTTGACATTCAAGTTGAATTCATATAATTTTTATTATTCATAAAATATTCTTACTAATTCAAAATATAATAATTGTATAAAGTATAATTTTCATTATAATAATTTATCAAAATTTTGAAGTGATATATTAATTCTTTTTATTTATATAAAATTATATATTCTTTATTCAATCTTTTCTTCATTAAAATAATAAATAATCTATAAATCTATAAAATAATTAATATACAATTAGATTAGCAAAAATTAAATAATGAAGCGTAATAATTAATTATTAATATAATGATTAATTAAAATATTTAAAAATATCATAAAATTTAATTTAATTGATATTCTTAAAAGAAAAATGAATATTTAGATATGATTGAAAAATTAGATTAAATAATACGCGCATTTATATGTTATTTTATATATATATACATAAATACACAAAACATATATTTCTTAATGTATCTGTAGTGCACTCATAACGATAACGAGTTTTTCTGTTCTTATTATTATCTTTAAAATTAAAATTTCCCAAGAGGAAAGTTTCAGATAATATTTTTTGATATAAGTATGATATTTAATATACATGTAATGGAGAAAAGAATGTTTTCTTTTTTTTCTCTTCTCTTTCACTCATTCTCTCTCTCTCTGTCTGTCTGCTGTCTCTCTCTCTCTCTTTCTCTCTATCTTCTAATTATTTTAAATTAAAATTATAGAAATTTATAAGATAAATATAATATATATTATAAATAAAAATTTAATATGTTGTATATAAAGATAATGTAACTTTGATAAAGATAGAACACAAGAGAAAATAAGAGAAAATAGAATAAAGAGTATCAAAAAGGAAAATTAATATTTATCTAAAAAAAGAATAAATGATGTTATAAAAATATTTCATTACAAAAAATTTACAAGTTAAATTATTTATAAAAAATTTACAAACTAAAATATGTAGCGAATAAAATATAAAAAATATATAAATTAAAATGTAACGTTATCAATGATTTTCGCGTTGTTAAAATGTGAAATGTATTTTAAGAAATGTATTTTAAGGGAAACTGAAAATTTTCGAGATTCTATTGATGCATTGGCAAAATGCCAAATATCTAAGTACATATGTATATCTACATCAGCTAAGCTCGTCGTATACGTATTTATAAATATATTTCATAAAATTATCATATAAACGAAAAATACTATTGATTTGTCAAATATTGAAATTTGATGTGTCGCGCATGGATATATAAGAATAAAATTTATGCGATGAGTATTAATTATTAATATTAACATAATATATATTGACATTTAATTTTATAGAATAAAGATAAATTTTGTGTTTTTTCAATTCTTTTTAAATTTTAAATTTTAAATTTATATTTTTTTTGCAATTTCGTGTAATTTCATGTAATTTATTATATTCATATATTTTTCAAAATCGAAATATTTGAAAATTAGAAAAATTTTTTAAAAATTTTGCATTAGTAAATAAGTTATAAAAGTATATAATGTTATAAATTTATTATAAAAATACATATATTGTAAAATTGTATCAAACAAATTCTAACTTTATTATATTTAAAATTAAAAAGATATATGAATATATTTAATGTATTTAGATGAAATTCGATGAAATAAAAAAATTTATATAGACAAATTTTGCGCGATAAATACTTGATAGAAAATGCGAAATATAAAAATTTTACATAAATTTTGAAAAACAGATATATAAATATAAATATATTGAATAAATATATATAATAAAATATAAATATATTGAAATTTAGTTGAAACATAAATGTAGAATATTCAGATTTAGGCAGTGCACTAGAAAAAGCAAAAGGAGAAAAAGATAAAAGAAAAAAAAAAAATAGAAGAATGAAACGATAGTGATTGTGGTATGATGTTAAGCGGATTAAGAAGATGAGAGGAAAAGAGAAGAGAGTAAAAAAAAAAAAAGAGAAGTGACGAAGACAGAAAAAAAGAAAATAAAGTTGAACAAAACTGAAATAAAATTTACATATAGCGAATAGAATATGGTAATAACATGAATCGAAAAAAAAATAAGTATTTATTAGTAATTATTAGTAAAGAATATTTATATACAATATAATATGATTATATACAATATAAGTGCAGACAAGTTTGAAGAAATTCAAATTCAAAAAAACAATACGTAAAAAATCCTTAAGAAAAAATAATCGTTATTTTATCCATATCTCGATATGACAATAAAGGCGATATATGGCACTAATTTCAATGATATTGATAATAATATGACAAAATAATGATGAGATGTCAGAAAAATAAAGAAAATAAAATATTAAAAAAAAAAAAAAAAAGAAAGAAAAAAATGAAATATAATTATTGAAGAAACAATAGTAAAATAAAAAATTTTTCGATAACCATTATAACAGTATTATTATAACAGTAAAAATTTAGTCCATACTCATTTTAAAATTTCAAATATTATTTATAAATAATTATTTACAAATAATAAAAAAAGAATATATTTGTAAATTGTTTGAAAAAAATATAAATGTTATAAGGAAATTTAATCAAGGGTAAACGTGTTCAACTAATTGCAAATTATACTTTATAATATACATACTTTATAAATCTGTTATTAAATGTGAAATGTGAGAAATTATTAAAAATAATTTCAAGAAATATTTGTTTGTGTCGCATAAATATTTAATAATTTAATAATTTTTATTTTAACCCATTTTTACATATTTGAAATTATCAAGAATCTATCGAAAACATATTTTTTGCTCTCTTATTTTTTTAATTTTAATAGGAAAAAAAATTGA